GAAATTTTTTTTAACTGGTTAATATAAGCTGATACAAAATCTTCACCTCTTGTTCTAAGACACAGATAAATTCACCATCTGATATGAGCATGCATTTTACATGTCTTGATCTTATAGTCACTTCCGTAATGACCAAATTTTAAATGCTTGAGAAGTATTCTTTCCTCACTGCGCTGATCATGGATATTCAACTTTAAAACTCAAAATGTTTCCTTTACTTTGTGTTTGTGTCTATACATGACCCCAACTCACATTTTGCTTAAGATTGTCTGAATGATTCAAATTACTTACAAAGGTCAAAGGTGCAACCAAAATATAAATTACTAAAAGTTGCTTTATTTTATATTTGTTTTCACTTTGGTTTGGGATAAGCAATCTTGTTTCTAATAGGTAGGCTAGTTATTTGCTTATTTGTTTTAAATTAAAACGCACTATAAATCAACCCAGGTATTTTTAATTGGTAGGAAAACAAGCCCTCAAAGATTGCGAGGAATGAGGAATACAATGTTCGACGCAAAGTATATACTTTATCATTACTTTTTCTTCAGGTCATGTAGGAGGCTGAAATCTTTCCAAAAAGGTAAAGTGCCTGGTTTCCTTCAGACAGCACTGATTAATTTGATACACTTTGCAATAACGTTGAAGTAAATACCAGAAAAGTGTGTCCTGGTGAGACAGCCAGGCCATGTCACCTATCCAAAGTGCAGAGCACAGCGCCTAAATAATAGGTCGACCAACGAAAAATACACACACCAGTTATTCCTTATGGTCTAGAGAAGGCCACCGATTCAATTTTCAACCGCAGGTAGGGCTATTTAAGGTAAAAATGTTAATATTCAGTTCGCTGTCGATCGGTAACAGACAGACAGATCAGGTTACTCCCGTCACAAAACATGCTCGGAGCGTCAAAATAGTACTTCGACAGACCAAAACGTCACTTAACATTAAAATAAAACATTCACGGCGTCATTTTGCATTGGGTTTTAAATCGATATGAATTATTCCAGAGGTGAAAATGTTAATCTCAAGTGGGTAATCGGCCAGCTGTGCCTACGCAACGACGTAAACAAGAGCAGAAGGCAAATGGCGGCGAAATCGTACATCCAGCGCTACGGGTGGCGGAAAGAGGAACTGAGGGGATAGCCGACACATCGGCACACGAGAAAGGGGGATTTTTGAACGGGAATATATTTCAACTGTGAACGTTTTCGGTCAATTTAGAGTTTCGGTGTAACTTCCCCATCCCTTGGGAGTACGCCGAACAAGTTGTTTTTGCGACCAGTACTCTCAATATTTTTAACCGCTCTGCTCAAAGGCACCGTGCTCCCGGGGGTGGCTCGCAGTACCCTCTCCTTTCCTCGTCCTCTCTTGGTGGGAGCGAAAGGACGAAGGACGAATAGTAGTGGATATTTGCACTCACACTCACCAACCGAGGTGACGAGATCAGCTTAACTTAACATACCTTTCTTTTGTTTTGATTATATGG